TCCCTTCCCTTCCCTTCCCTTCCCTTCCCTTCCCTTCCCTTTTTTTTTTAACTGCACACTTCCCCACATGTTTACAAGGAATCCGTGGGCTGGCAGCCGCAGAGGGGCCTGAGCTCCACGGGCGCCGCTGGCCTCGCCGCGGCACCGGCCACGCTTGGAAGGGAGCGTAGGGGCTGGAGACGGTGCTGCGGAGTGCAGGATGAGGTAGGATTTTCATAAGGAATGTCCAGATTTTTTTATTCCAGGCAGCCTCCCCCAGCGCCTGGTTAAGCTTTCAGTGGCTGCTTTCCCAGCCAAAGGCGATTGCAAATTGATTGCAGCAGGAACGGCAAGTGAAGACAAATATAGTGCCGGCTGCCCGCCGGGAGCGCGCACGGGGGGAGCCTCCGACGCTATTTTTGGAGCTTTGTCTCCGCTGCTTACACTAGTCCTAATCTCTGCTTCTGCTTAAAAACATGTTTGAGGTTGGGTCTTTTTGTTGTTGTTGTTCTTTGGTGAGTTGGAGAAAAAGGGAAAAACAGAGCAGAAATCCCTGCCCCAGAGCAGGAGCCGGCGGCTCCCGGCGCCGGAGCGCCCGGGGCTGGAGCCGGGTGTCACCGTGGGAGCTGTGCAGGGACACACGGCTCCCACGGAAGGGGAGAAGAGCGACGTGGGAGCAGCACAGGGAGCAGCACCGAGGACTCCGGCTTGTGTGAGAGACAGGGAGCAAACACGGTTATAAAAGTGACGAGCAGGACCAGGGGGGATCTCGATTTGACCACAGAACCAAAGGAGCAGAACAAAGGGACCAGTTCACAGCACAGGGTGGTGGTCGCCTTGAGCGGGTGTCTCCTGTGTCTGCCTTGGAATCACTGGGAGCTTTGCATGCACGTGCTGGGATCAAACCCACGTGTAGGGATCACAAGGGACATCTCCAWCGTCACGCTGATCCCGCAGCGATCCCCGTCCCGGTGCTGATCCCACCAGCTCCCGGAGAGATCCCTTTCCTGGCCGCGGGGCGCGGGACGGGCTGCGGAGCTGCTGGGCCCCAGGCAGGTTTCGCAAGCGCAGGCCGATGCGCAGGAGGCTTTTATGGCTCTGGATCAAAGTCCTCGGCCCCAGGCCAGTTTCCCAGCGCACGGGGCCTGCGCAGGMGAGTTTGCAGCTGGGTTTGTGGGACAGGCCCGTGCCAGCGCCTCAGCAGCAGGGCGAGGGTCGGCAGAGGGAAACTTGGGATTAAAAGGGGGGAAGGAAAGAAGTTTTTGTCCATCTCCATCCTGGGGAGCCAGGGCTCGACTGTTCACACCATTACTCCCAGAGCTGGACACCAAACTCCTCTTAGCACCAATGAGACTTTCTCCATCCTGTTCCCATTTTCTGCAGCCTCTGCTGGTCCCAAGCTGTCTCCTGCTCCCCATCACCATGAGCCTCGTCTAAGGAAGCTCCTTTTAGGCTGTGCTTTACAGTCACAGAGCTGCATCCCTGTCCCCATCGAGCRCTGAGGTCCTCGTCTGCACACGAGTCCTCTGCTACCAGCAAGCACCTCCTGCCAGCAAAGAGCAGGGCCAAGGATCAGCCGCGCTGTTCGGAGCAGAGGAGTACTGGGTGATGGCAGCTCCGGTGGCGAGCGAGCCGGCTGGTGAACACTGCCGGAGAGCCAGGAAAACACTTGGGCTTTGGATAGTAAAGGCAGGTGATGTAGGGGCATTAATTTCCGCCTCCAGCCCCTCTTCACTGCAAGAAGATTATTTGCTATAGGAGACAAAGAAAACATAAAAAAGAAAGAAGTTCTGCTCAAATAAAACTCAGATTTCTCTGCTGGTTGTAAATTGTGGTGKTTTTTGTGTCTCCAGGAGGCTTGGATGAGAGTGGGAGGAAAAAAACATACGGTTTTAGGGGACCCTAAATATTTCTGGGCAAGGTCAATTGATGCAGGTCGGTGGCCACGGGCACGTGGGGCAGGACCGGGGCTGTGGTCGGTCCCTCTGCTTCCCCATCACTTGTGTCGCCAGGAAAACAAGGCCCAAGGTCGAGCCCTGACCAGGAATTTATTGGTGCTGCCTTTGGTGCAATGTCTACATGGAAAACGCTGCAGACTTTGGCCTGTCATAAAGAAGTTGGGAACTGAGGAAGGTGGAAAAGTTAAAAAAAAAAATGAAGGAGGGAGAGGGAGTTAGTCCTGCAGCTGATAGAGGTGACAACAGCCGCAGCTTCCTCATGTGCACGGCCTAGAAGGTCTCTCTCTCTCTCTTTAGGATCTGGGCTTCTCCAGGGGAGTCCCCCAGCCCCAAAGCACGTGTTTTCCAGCCCGTTTCCCAGATGTGGCAATCGCCAGTTGCAAAATCTGCTCCTGCCCTCCTTGGCAGCCGGGTCCTGTGTCACAACAGCCTGGACTGCTGCTGCTGCTGGGGGTGTCTCTTAGGGAAATCGCTGACAAAAGCCAGCCCAGGTGGTGCCTGTGGCCTCTGCAGTTACTTGTTCCCATAAATACACACACAATACACACACACACACACACACACACACACACACACACACACACAGACGCC